AGAGACATGTCCCGCAATAAGGTAACAAGACTGTCTCGTGCGATCGCTTCAGTAAATATGTATAAACGCTTGTAAATATAATGTGACTATATGACTTGATAAATATTGTAAATAAATGGTTATTAGGTTTTTACAAACAAAATCATTAACACAATCTAATAAGAAGAAGAGTGAAACGATATTGCAGCGGCTGTTCAAATAGTTCTTAACTTTAGCGTTATTTTCGAGGATGTGGAACGTGGAATATTGGAATAAAAATGTAATAAAAACCAGAACCCGGCTACATATGGAAAGAATTGGGAGCGTCTACCGAGTATACCGAAATGGTTTAAAACAAGACCCCCCCCCCCTTATATACTACATACATCTACAGATATACAAAATATATTATATATTCTCCCAGCTCGAGGCCGATCGTTAGTGTTTTAACCACCAAACGAATCGGTCGGCAAAAAACTTTATTTCGTTAAAATTTAGGGTCGGTTACATACTGCTATAAAAATATATTGTTAAAAAATACCGGCCACGTACTATCTACCTACTTTTAAATTACCTGTGATTGTGTCACACAAAGAACTATTTTAACTGTACTTATTTAAATGATAAGTTTACCAACCGTAGCATATGTAAGATATTAATTAAATACATAAATAAGTTAACACCAAATCATGTGCCTTAATAAATGAATAAAGTTATTGGTTAAAAGTTCAACCATTATCCGACAGACAAATATGTAATTATTAATGAAAAGAATCGATCGGTAAGCATTGACCGATGAAACCTGCCGGATAATATTATCATAATGATAATGACTGCTCGTTTACATAATTAACTGGTTATCAGAGGGCGGAATGTCGGCAATTAGCACGTCATGCGGGAGGAGCCGGGCCGAGCGCTTTCAGCACCAAAAACTGAGACTGAATAAGAAAATGATTACAGCCTACGTCACAGGCGCCCCTTATTACATCTCATGCGGAATCAAGATTTTATAAATTATATAGTTTCTTCTTTAGCGAAACTAAATATAGAGCAGTTCTACACGTCATATTCACAAGAAGAACTAAACTTGATCGACTAACTTTGACTGTTCTTCAAAGACACCGAAAAGACTCGAGTTATACATATGTGAATGAAGCGTAGAAACGTTTTCTTGCAAAATGTTATAAGCTTTTCAGATGCTAATTGTTTTTGTTCTATCATATAATACATATAATATTTTATAATTTTAATTTACTATAAATATTAACTAATTTGCCTACTGTATAAAACTGATGTGTATTTTTATTTTGAAATTCATAATTAATACATTTCTTAGTCCCTTCTGAATGTTGAACTTGTCGATCAGAATAAAAGTAAACTTTTGTTTGTTATTTGCTTAAAAGTTTTAAGAATTATAATGATTACCGGTGTTTTAATTCGATAGGTCAAGTCCTAAGGTCCACGCTGTCATTGAGATCCATCACACCACTCAGCTGATAATGCCCACGCATTTTCTACATTATTGCCAAAGCTTTTTTTCATTCCTTTTTCTTTCGTACACAAAACATTATATTAATTTCACTTTTATTCTGATTGTAAATAAACAACATCTCAATGTTATCACAGTAACATTTCCAATGGTATTTGTAAGTCGCTAATCAAAGAGCTAAATGTTGGAGTCACGCGATATGTTACCACGTAATAGCTCTCATAATCATAATACCCCATCTTACCGACTACCTGTCCCGAGATAGTTGAAATTCAATGCATAACAATATGTGGATAGGCCTTTTACGGCCCATCCTTTGTCAGCCCTAAAATACCTTCGAAACTCACGTTTATTTAAGACGAACATTTAGTGTTTCGTTTTATTCGTACATAAAGATTAGTCGTAAGAGGTGCGCAGCCATTCCGCGTGCCGCCATAAAATAGCTCTCAATTCGGTAAATGAGCTATGAAAGTTGGAACCGATGTTGGCTGAGTTGGTTCCATCACACCAAACTGTGACGGCCAATGGTTCTAATGATTGGCCGCTCGTCACATTTATTTGTCAATTTCATTCGTAAAGAACTTTTACGGTCATATATATATGTATATGACACAAACAGACTGCACCCGATGTACCCAAATCATCGTGTTCGCATCTAATTGCTTCATTATTGTTAATTTTGCTTCCTCCCTGTGGGACTCATTAATTTCGCAGCTCCTGTTTTTGGAAATTGCGTTTGGCTTTAGTTAGACTTTACTACGCAGTTTGTGTTTATTACATTAATAATGTTATTAGTATTATAATAATCTTTGGTGTGAAGACGACTCTCCTTCAGTCAGTTCGTTGCAATGCCCTCACTCTGCAATATTGTTATTGTAGGAACGTTATCATTAATATGAACAGTTCGTTTAATTTGGCAACAATAATGCGACCTTGAAACTTTCCAATAGAATTGTATCAAGCCATATCCTTAAATCAGCGGGTTGCGTTAAAATTAGGAAGCTTTAATTTGTTTTAAATTCGCTTTCCCAACTCAATTAGACCGCCTATGAACGAGCGACGATTTCGTACTTCAAATATCTGAAAACAAAATGTTTCACGAGTTCGGTTAGCTTTGTAACTCGATTTGTTAATTTAATTTTGTGCCTGCTCTCTTGTAGGAATTCCTCCGCAGACCGTAATATTTCAACACTTCCATTCCGAAGTCGTCCGAACCCCTCCCAGATGCGGTAGTCATTCTCAGGAGACAAACAATTCCATTATGGACAACTGATAAAATATACGAATATAATTTTTAATAACATCCACCGACATATATTTTAAAGTCATCTCAAATTCAACTTTAAATATATTTGATTAATCTTCAATACTATCTGAAGTCAGTGTTACAGTATTATGGTATAAGATGTATATTCCTCGCAGCAATATTGTAAGGCAACCTTAAAATATAACTTCGCTCGAAACCAATAAGTCGGCGGAAGTTTCAAAGAGTCGCTCGGATTTTGACGAAATTGCTGTTTGGGCCCTCATAAATTACTACAGTCTTACTTAACGACTTTAAAAAAATATATATAAGCTTTACGGATTTGATTTGTAAATATAAAAATTGTTTCTAAGTGCATAGCATTATTTAATTGATTTAAACTTTAATAATATATTAATTAATTATGTAGTCATTAAAGATAGACACATTAACGGTTAGAAAAACTAAGGAAGTGTTAATGGAAGTTGTCGGGTCTTTAATTAAAATCTCGAACAGCATTGATCCGCCCACCTGCACATTACATTATCTGTTATCAAATCCTGATGGAAGCATCGACTTTGATAAACAAACAACTATTATATTTGATGAACAACAAAATCATTATCACACTTTATTAAATTATAATTTATTTTAAATAATATTTTTTTTAAGAATCGTGTTATTAGAAATAATTTGTACATTATAAATTGATTTAAATCTTTCAATTAATGTCGCTGTGTAATAAATAATATTATTGAACTTAATTAAAATTGAAGATTCAATTTTCGTCGGAAACTTACCAATAGTTAAAATATTGTTCAAATTAATTACATAAATATATTTTTATTTTGAATTATAAAAAGCTTTGTTGTCGCTTTAGAAATATCTAAAAATGATATTAATAGAACCACACAATTAATTAAATAATTATAATAATAAATATTATAAATATATTATATTATCTCGAGTCGTCGTAATATCTTCTATCTCACGTTTTGATAATATTGACAAATATTATATATGTATAATATATATAGCTAGTTAACTGTCATTATCCAGTTAAGTGTCAGTTAATCCATTTCAAATGATAATCTCATAATAGCTGTGACAGCGACTAATTACTAAATGTACCTACCAATACATGTACATAGATATAGATATTGAAAAATTATATGAATATATGTATATAGCATATGTTTAAAACACATAACACGTGTGATGTTAAACTCAAGTAATCAATAGATGTTCCCTGACCTGATAGTATTAAATTCTAAACAAATCGTTAGTGTTCTGGCAAGACTCCGTATGTAAAGTAATCAGGCCAAGTTCCAGGGGATTTGGAGCTTCGGACGAGAGACGGTCCTCGTGACGTCACAGCAAATAACATACTGTTTGTGAGATGTTCGACAACCAACAGACAGACACACAAATAGATAAACTAACGAGAAGTGACACTAAATATATGAACCACTTGATATAAATAATTTGTACAAAATTCTATAAAAACAAAAGAACGCCGCATCAATAATTATCTGTATTGGTTTAATTTGAAATTTTAATTATTTTTATAAGTGACAGATTAATGAATGATAGAGGTATTTTAAGAGGTCACCAAGACTTGTATTTTTAAAGCAATAGAACTCATCGGAAGTTTTAGTTTTTTTTTGGAGACAAAGTAGAAATTCTGTGATGAATTTATCAAATAGTTTGTTACGAATAGTATCATAACACGTAACATTTTATTGTTCTTACTTTATCAATTTCATTAGTAACAAATGAAGAATAACCAAATATTAACAAAAGTACACAAAAGTAGTAATACTACTAAACTCTAATAAGAGTATACATTTAAATAATATACATACAATGTACTTTAATTTGATATTTCCAAATATATCAATTTTATTTCCAGCATAAAAATTAATTTTTTAATACATTCTAATTATTCTAATCTCTGCTCTGTAACGTTTTCCAAGTGAGAAATGAGCTGAGTACGAGATTCTTCTGTAAGGTTCATCTCGTCTTGTGTCCGTCACGTTGTATGTATACATATATAAACATATACATATATTCCTTACACGGTCTCCGAGGCAAACTACGATTGAAGTAACTTTTAGAAAAGAATTACTCGACATATTTTTTGACAGCTATTTAATTTTCAATCTCTTTTGAAAATATGTGTATTTTAATTATGAGAACCTTGTAGGTGAAAATTTTATTTTTTATATTTAGATTTTATTTTTTCTTAAATATGATTTTTTTTTAATTAATCAGTAAGACTATATGAAGTCATTCGGTGTCCGGTCCACCTTGACCTAGGAGTTGGTCGTCTATCGTAACTCTGTATACAGTGACCGCATCGCAATCGATTTTGTTATTAGTCCAACAAACTTTACCACTTATACATTTACGGAAGATAGATTGAATGTCGCCGAGGGCTCGCTTCTCATACGACGGAATTATTATCGAGTTGGCTGTACATCGCCGGTCGGTTAGCCAAAGCCCGTCGGAATGAAGCAGTAAAAGAGTAATGGACGTCGTGTAAGTGTAAGGGGTGTTCGTTTTGTGCGTCTGCGCGTTGGTGGAATCGATAAGGCCGCAGCCTCCGTCGCACACATGCACTGCTAACCTACATCCGGGATGACTCCTGTGCTCACCAGGCACCAGGCACCAGGCACCACTCGCCAGTCGTCAGGTAGTGTGAGAATCGAATCTCGACACGCGTCTCCTTTTTATGTGAGGGTGCATCAGCGTTAACTCATTTAACAGTTTTACCTAGGATCGTTTCAGATCACGCCAAACGACCTCCGTATACTCATACCTGTTTATAACTATGATAGTGGGCGTCTTAAAACTTTAAAAGTTAATATTATGTTTAGCATTCCGTTGAAAATAAAAGCTCTAATATTTTAAGGATATTGCAGTATAAATTCTCATTAATGATCTGGACAGAGTCGTGGAAAGTAGCAACGTAATGTCTTAAATGTCTCGTTATTTTGTTACTCAGGTAGGGTTACATAAGCTATGCTAATTTGATGATGTTAGCAAGCATTTTTAAATAATAAAAATATTTTATGCGAATTGAAAAATATTTTGTAAGTAAGCTAAAATTTTCCAAGTTTCATCTAGTATGAAGTTGAAACTAACGGAAACATAACAAAAGAAATATAAACTATGTTGTATTAATATCGTTCCAACAGAATGACGACAAGTCTGTTCCAAAATAATGTAAGAAGGTTTTTATTTATGACCACTCGATTAAGTGCCTCACGCGTACCGTGATAATCGTTAAATGACAATTAATTTATTTATAGATTCTTTAATCATTAAATTTTATTTTATAATTTTCTTCCGTATATTTTTCAACACGAATGTAATGTAATGTCTTAAACAGTAAGTTATTTCAAGTTGTTCGCCCACCTTTACTCTCTGGTGTAGTGTTCTGAGTCTGTCATCTCTCCTATATATAATCTATTTATAACACGTTACTGATGTTTCATAAAAATTTTCTAAAAAGGGTTTTAATTTTTCTCTTCCTCTAAATTTTCTATTTCTGCCTCCTAATGGAGTTGTCAACATCTGCGGAAATCTATTTCAAGTTGAAAGCTTCCCCAAATTAAAAACGTTACCAGTTTAGAAAATGACCAACTATTCTATTATAAAGTGACTTTTTGTTTTAATCTAAAAATAAAATAAACATCATTTTGCTGTATTATTATTTTGGAATAAAAAAGTTATACCACTAACACAGTCAATGATTATTATGTTCCAAAAAATAGAATAAATTTATTTATTAACTTTCTGTAACAAGAACCATTCCTCTCTCTCTCTCGAGTCGAGTCTACCTTCTGCCATTAATAATACTGCAACCGTCCTCCAATAAAACCCGGTCTATATTACCTTAACTTATACACTTTTTATTTGAAGGAAAATTTTTAAGAATAAAATTCAGCGTCTCATTACATGGCTCCTATGAAGGGACGAGTTCGGTACAATGAATTTTATTTTAAATCAATAATTGTGGCTATTTAGAGACTAAATCCACGATATATTTAATACATATGTATATTATTATAAATAGTGTTAGTATTATAGAGTTTCAAAACAATACCAGCACCCCGGCATACCATCAGTTTAACGTGGTTGTGTATACTCGTACAAGGTTATGTAGGTAGGTAGGTGAGTATAGGAGTACAGTAAGCTCGGCCTAACATAATATTTTTATGCCCGCCCTTACATATCATTTTATTGCATCTCCTTCACGAATGAATGAAGTCAATCCCCGAACGGACTTCCTTTCCTGAAATTGACGTATTATAAGTTCTCGGCAACTTTATTAGCTTTGTTGCCTTAATGCTTCTCACGAGAGAGGGTTCGTTCCACGTTCGTATCATCATACAGACGCTATAAAATTATGTGTTTATTTGAAGGTCTTCATATATTATGCTGAATACGAACAACAAACAAAAGCTTTATGTAAATAATATTTAAATGGCGTCGGATTAAAGTACATCTGGCCGCTCTCATGTATACATATCCGAGGCTCGACTCTGAATCTGTTATATTTTCAAACCACTGATTGTTTAGAGCGGGCGGCGTTTGATCCGGCGAACATCAACAGGAGCGGATCCACCAATCCCTTCGCGACCGTAACGCCTCATCCACAGGGAAATAACAAAACGGTATAAATTCCCCCCTACATAATTAAACGACAAATGTCCGGGCGTTATTGACATCGGTGCCGCTTTGGCCGACTATGGGCCAACTCGTGGCCGGAGTTGGTGTAATTTATGTCCAATAAAGCAGCTTCATAAGGTAGCTAGAATTTCGCAAACTATTTACGATGTACGTCCATTTGTAAAGTGATACGTTTTATTGATGTATTTCGGCTCCTGTAATTTTTATGTTTAACGCTACCCTTGTCATAAACAGAACTCGCAAATTTCCACGTATTAAGTGTTTTACCTGTTAATATATTGAAGTGGAGACTTACATATTGAGAGATGAAAATATTCAAAACGAAATGAATAGTTTATATGAAGCTCGGACGAAGTATTTAAATATAAAATAAATATTTAAGTAATTCTCTTTTGCCAGTGAATTCTTCGAGGAATTCTTCAAGTGACTAATGTTGCTCTGCTCGGGACCCGGCCTGTATTTATTAACTGTCCCGTGCCGTGGGATATGTATAAGATACGCTCACTTGACGCACTCCTACCTACTTGGATATCACTACATTATAAATTATTTATATATTGAAATATTTATCAAATCTGTCATATACGCAATCGGAACTATACAAACTATTGGTTGTTTTGGTTACTAGTAATGGAGTTTATGCATAAAACACTCTTAAATACAAACATGTGGAATATCACATTTAATTAATGGTAATTAATTCTTCCTGAATCAAGCTTGAATAAAAAGAGCGTGGAGTCTCAAAAACGTGTCACATTGTTCTGTCCCGTCACTTATATTTATATCCGTCAAACATTGCCTGAAGGGCTTCGGCGTAACGTTTGAAAGACTACCTGATTTATTTGGAGTCATTCATATAAAGGCGAGTTGATAAGATGGTCATACTGTGTTATCTAGATCGTTGTACCTCAAACCACCCTCGCCGCGACAGGTGACGTGCTTCGAAGAATTGAGGTGATTTGTCACGAGTTTCATTTCAAGAGACACGCTCGTGCACGAGACGTGATCTAAATGTAACCTGTTCCATCAACGGTCCATCCGTTTAGTTACAAAATGGAAATGCTTATCGGCTTTTATTATTATTATTATTTATCGGTTTCCAGTGAATCGAGAGACTTTATTCCGTATGATAAGACTTACGAGATCATTTCTATGATATTTTCTTCAATTGTGAATCGTTCTTGTATAAGATCGTGTCTCGTGACAGCCGAGGCTAGATATTTGTCCAACCGATAGCTGTGACAAATGGAGCGGCCAAGGACACGCTGCGGCCCGGTCAGTTCTTTTTACTTCATAGATTATTCAATGTTAGAGGGATAAGATTTAAGATTTAGATTTTTAAGGTCTTATTGGGATCATATACAACAGTAACCCTGTTATATAAAAGCAGTATTTTATGCTAGTAAATATTATAGTTACATAGTATGAATCTATATAAAATAATCAATACATACATAATACATAAGTTATTGTATACGGTTACAACAGGTTTTTACGACACGAATGGATTCACAAAAGATTTGATCCCGCGAGAGATCTATGTGCCGTGATTCGGTATTAAAGAAAACCCTTTGTAAATTGAATCGTTCGATTTTAATCTTTCATTGCAGTTTTTTTTTTAATCTTATATGTAGTAGACTACATTTACACCATTTATTTGTCAAAAGGCGTCGCACCAACCCGAACACGTGTCCTTTAGATTTAAAAGTGAACTGCCGGCTCTTGGAAATTGTTGTGACGTGCCTGGCCACCTCCATTGAGTCGTGATAATTGCCGCGGTGGTCACTAACGGCTGCTCATTTCTAACCATTCACAGCTCTATGGTTTGTAATAAAGGGTTACTTGTTATTTAACAATCTGCGGTATGTTGCTAATTTGAAAATGTTTCAAGCACAGTTTTATTTAGGTTAAACAAAAGCTTTCATTATTAAAACAAACACTCCTTGTATATTTTTTGACAATGAGCTCGGTGCATAATAGAATATTTTTTCACTTGAGACACTTGAGTGTAATTAGGAAGCAAGAATTACGAAATGATTTATTTTAAGCGGGGTAACTTTAGTTTGAAAGTAAATCTGAATAAAAATGAAACAAATAACTGAAACACTAAATAGAGGAAGTATTTTTTTACTATAGTGTATTGTTTTAATCTTTCGCGTGTCGCATTACAGCCGACCATGAAGAAAGGGTACTGCGAAGTACTCTTGTCAGAGTATCTTATGTCAATATGATCAATTTGAAGGCGCCGATGGCCTGCAGGAGTTGTGTGTATAGAACTTAAAGTCTCAAATATTATTGCAAGTTAGCCGATAATGTGATCACTTATTAAAATTTGTCTGTCGTCTCTGTGTTTCGTAATATCAAACATTGACTTAAAAGTTTATATTTGGACATCTTCTCGTTTATTGACTACGGCAGTTATCATTTCCAGTTATTAAGTTAAAATTAATTATAACTTCGATCAGACAAAAAGTTTCGTTTGTATTTTCATTTTGATAAAAAACTTTGTATTTTTATTTTCTGTTTTACTGATTGAGTTGGAATAACAACGCGACACTGTTATTTACTTTACTGAACAGTCTGTATATGATCTGTATAATTATCATAAGCTATCGTGTCCTGATATGACGTGACACAGCGTGACACGAAGTGACACGGCGTCACGTCAGTCGTGTCTGTCACTCCGTCACGCCACATAGTCTGATGTGTCACTGGAAATGATTTTTCATCTTGTAATAAATTTTGGTCTAAATTATATCTATGTACATCTAGAATTTTTCTACTTTATCTTGTGTTTAATTGTAATATTTTTGGTTCTCATAATCTAATTGCTTTAAGGTCACGAAAGTTTTACTCTATTGTTCTCGGTTACTATACTACTTTTGAAGTTTAGGACTAGAATTCAAACTGCAATTTCAAGTGTATGACACTACATACGTCTGTTTACAAAGAAATTATTCTTAATTACTTATTTCGCTCAATATTATTCC